TAAAACTTCTCCAAGTCTTTATATTGGGTAAGGCATCACCTTTACCCAATGTGGGTTAGATCAATAAAGATTAGCTTTATGTTTATTAAATTTATTTATTTAAATTTATTTTTATTAAATATTTATTATTAATAAATATCTGACCAATAAGGTTAGATCAGATATTTAAAGGCCAGAAGACAAAGAAGAGAATAATGTGATGGGGAAAGATTTTATTTTCAGCATAAATGATCCAAATAGGTGCATTTTGTCCAGGCTCTATATGGGTCCTGCAGGAATTTACCAGGTAAATGTAATTTGTAAGATGGAAGGTCAAGAAATGCCTGCCACCTCAGTGTCACTGATTCTAACTGATAGGCACCAACACATTAGGAATCCTGTAAACAAATGCACCACAACACTTGCTTCAAAGGGACTCGTCTGAGAGAAATAACATCCACTCTGATCTTTTTGGGTCACTGGGTGCCAAGGATCCCTTTCATGTCACCTGTGAATTCTAAAAAACTTTCCTTATTTCAATGTTCTACTCTTCTTCATTTTTTTTCCCCTCACCCCATCCTCATTTTATTTTTTTCCTCACAAATTATTTTTTTCAAAGTCTGTTTTTCCTAGCTCTATATTTTCCCCTTCATTTCAATGTTGTTTTTTTCTTTTTGGCAAACACATTCTTGCTCTGGGACCTTCTCCTTATACTCTAGAGCCTTCAGCTAGAGTTTCTCACCTGGACTCACTCTTTCGATTCATTACGAATGTACACACCTGCATATTTCTGTGGATTAGCTTATTTATTTAGAGTAGGCCACTAACTCATTTGTGATGAGTTGGATTAATTGGTGAGATTTTCAACGCAGGGTAGTAGCTGGCCAGCACCGAGATGGGCCTTCCAGCAGGGCTACTTCCTGCCAGTTGCTGTTATTCTCATCTTTGATTTTCATAGCGCTCCTGTTAGTGATGGAGTCTTGGATACACTGGGATGCCCCTTACACACTTCTCATCAATACAGTCCTTGGGAGAAATCTTGTACTTCTCAGCCCTTGCCACAAGACTCGCATTGTGCCACTTGTCTATCTTCTTGCCTTCTCTCATTGACATCACTCTGTTTACTTAGCTGGTAGGCCACATGCAGCCATGGACAGTTTGCTGTCCAGCAATGCAAGAGCTAGAAACACTGTATTCATTAAATCAACCTCGTGATGTCCATTATTCTTAATCTTTATGGAAATGGGATCCCGATACAGAAGAGATAAAACTACTCCCAGCTGTTGCTCATGGAGGGGAAAACTCCAGTGTTGGTGATAAAACTCTTAAAATGTTTGAAAGAGTGTCTGTTGGTTTGTGATAAGAGATCGGCCATTTCACGAATGGTTTAGAAAGACAGATGGAGGCTGCTGGGTGGGAGAAAAAGCCACCATGTGGGCTGACTGCTGTTCTGTAGACACAGCCTCCAAGGCACAGTAGCAGAGTAGCCATAAATTCATGGATTTCAACCTTGGGTTTGGTACCCAAGATCTCAATGATCTAAATTTTCTCTGTATGTAGCTCTGCACTCCAGTACCAGCAACTTTGGGAAAGTAAAGAGGAATAAGAATTTCCTGAAACATCCCAGAGTTTTTCTCTAGAGTAGGTAGGTGGGGGTGAAGACTTTGGGTCTACTAGCACTCTGGCTGTGGGTCTGAATATACTGCTCATGGGATTGGCTACAATTGTGGCTCCATCCAACAACACTACAGCTGAATTCTGTTTTAGTCTGTGGCTGTTGAGTGTCCAGTGGGCAGACTGAAGCTCTTGTCTGTTGGCTGACATTGCCAAATGAATTTCCTGTGTTCCAGTTGCTCACTGTTCCCTGTGTCACAGCAGGTGCTCGCTGAATTCCATGCTTGATACCTTGAACAGGTTCAGCACGAGATTTACATTCTCTCCTGGAGTCTGACTGGTGTTCGGGGCCACCTCGACCCCAGCCTGAGCTGTGCTGGCAGCGTAAGGCCTGATATTGCTGGACAGTAGCCACTGAGCTAGTGACGGGCCCATGCAGTGAAGGAGAACAGAGGCCCAGCTAAGACTAAGCCCTGCTGCCAAACAAATGAGTGAGGCCCCGTGGCATCAACTGAACCATCAGCTGACTAGGGCCTCATGGGTGAGACCAGTAGAAGAACTGCCTTGGACTGCCAGTGCATGGAATCATGATTATGAGAAATAAAAAATCATTATGGTTTATGGTGGCTGGTTATGCAGCAAAAGACAACTGATACATATCCTCAGAGAAATATTCTAGACATACTCAAGAAAGACTGCAATTCTCCCCTCTGGGCTTTGTTCATCCTTCTGTTATAGCACATAGCTCATATAATTATTGTTCTACCTGTGTCTGCTTCTCTCACTAAATTAGTAGCTTTTAAAAGTAGAGATCAGGTTTCTATTCATCTTTATATCTCCTGTGACTATTCTAGTGCCTGGTACGTAGCAACGGAGGACATTTATTCCCCAGGTCATACATTCACCATTTCCTGACACACTTTCACTTGACCTCTGGAACTCATGGCCAATCATAAGTAAACATTTTTATATCTCAACCTTTCGGTTAATATTCCTTTTANTAAACGTTTTTATATCTCAACCTTTCAGTTAATATTCCTTTTATCTTCTTGTTTTCCCCCCAGTGGCCGTGCTTCCCTGCAGCCCTCTTAGGTGGCGGCTGTTTCCCCTCCCGTGCCTTACACACCATGGGGCTTGGAGGCAGGTAGGTGACCTGATGGCTTATGTTTCTTATGGCTGCTTTCAGACTGTCTTTGTCCCCTCCCTCCTCTTTTAGAAAAACACTCAGCCTTCACTCCCATGACATCAGATTAAATGATCTAGACTTTTTGCTGTGAAAGTCATTTACTGATCCCTGGGCCTCTGCCTCTCATCCTGTAGAGATTTTAACCACAGATCCACAAGCACACTCCCCCAGGAGTGATTTCAATATCCAGACAGCACAATCTTCCAAAAGCATGGCTTCTTAGTCCCTCGCCTTCCTCTCTTCCAAAGGTCTTGGCCTCCATCCTATCTCAGTCACTTATTCCCATGGTCACAGCTTACTTGTTGGCATCACCAATACACTGCAACCCTAGATATTCCCCTGTCCAGTCACCACCTCCTGTATTTTTAGCTCTCTTACTTTCACCTCCAACTCCCAAACTCCTTCGTCACCAGACCTACAATTTATTGTAACCACCACTCTTCACTGTTCGGTCACCCTCATGTTCTCACTTCCCTCATTCAGTTAAAATTTAATGGTCATTTTGGTTGTTCTCTTGTCTCCTTTCTGATTTATCCTACTCTCATACTTGATATGGCCTTAATTAAGTCCAACTTTCTACCTGATATGTGCCGGAATCTGGGGAGCTAAATGCGGCTGGAGAAAGAATTGCCTCTCTTTAAATTCATAAATATTAATAATCTCAAGGGAATCTTTAATGTTACCCACCACTCAGAACTCTATCTCCCTAACCAATTAATCTCTTTACTCTCCTAGATGACTATTTCACAGCTTCTAATCTCTCCCCGGACCTTCAACATCTTTCTCTCTTTGTTTTCCATATTACTAAGAAAATGGAAGCAATTAGAGGAAAACTTCTGAGAGCTCCCACCACATTTCTACACTTATTTGTACCTCTGTGCATCTACTATGGCTCCCTTCTTCTTTTTATGAATAAATTGTATATGTTCCTAGCCAAGGCTATCCACCTATCTAGGCATTACATTCAATCTCTTACCCACTTGCTGATACCACTCCTTGAATTTTCCCTGTTTCTCCTGCACCACTCTCCCCTCTTGAGTGAGCCATTCCCATCACTATAAACATATTGTCACTTTCATATTATTTGAAATCCTGCAAGTCCTCACCCCATTTACCCATTTAGAAATTATTGCATTTCTTCCTTTTAAGGAAAATTCCTTCAAAGATTAATTATACTCACTACCTCAAATTGCTCTCTTCCCATTCTGACTTGAACCAACTCCAGTGAGGCTTTTTTGCCCTCGATGCTCCATGGAATGTGCACTTATCAAGGTCAGCAATCAATTTTGATGTTGCTAAATTCAATGATCGATGCTCAGTCCAAACGTACTTGATTTTTTGACATAGTAGATCAATTCCACTCTTCCTTGAATCACTTTCTTGAAAAATTTGGCTTCCAAGAAACCATACCCTCCTGATTTTCCTCCCTGTCTCCAGCTACTCCTCGTTTCACTTGCTAATTCATGTCAACACCCCGCCACCACAATCAGGATACAGAACACTTCCATCACCTCCTAAAATTCCCTCGTACTATTCCTTTGTAGTCACACTCTTCCCCCAGCTCCCGGTCCCTGGCAACCACAGATCCGTTCTCTATCACTGTAGTTTCGTTTTTTAAAAAAATATCATATAAATGGAATCATATAGTATCTAAACTTTTGAGACTGGCTTCTTTCATTCAGGAAAATGACTCAGATTCATCTAAGCCGGTGCATGTATCAATAGTCCACTCCTCTTTAATGGTGAATGAGTGCACAAAACACACAACCCCACCCCCCAAAGTAATGCAGAAAACCATGCTTAAAACCAGTTCTTTTAGGAGGCTGAGTACAGTGAGTTAAAAAACTTAAAGGCATTTTTCAGAATCTGAACATAAGACTTAAAGCTTGCTTGAAATTAAAATAATTTCTTTAACATTTCTGTGCCTGTGGACATCCCGTAGGCCAGACTGCTGATGGGCCAGCCTGTCTATGATGGTGCTTGCTCCTTCCCAGAAGCCCTTACCTCTACACAGAAGGGCTGGTCATGCACGGAAAGACCATTCTTAACTATCAGCAAAGAGTAGCTTCTTCCTAGGAACCAGGACCAGAACTCAACCCTAAGAAGCATGTTGAAGGTACCATCTTTACTATTCACAAACTGTTAGGTCACAATCAAGGCTACACAACTCTTCAGTAGCCTGTCCCTGTGGCCACCGAAACTTTGTAAGAAGAATGTTTACCTGTGACGACACTGGGGATTTTGGAGAGAAAGCTCTTGACTGTTCTGATGGGCACCCCCCCTGTTTTGTCATCTTGCATCTTTGTGATGATGTCTTCAATCTGAAAGAGGTTAAAGAAAAGAAGTGTTATTGTCTCTCACAAAGTAACAGTAAATGATGCCTTTATCAGTAGCCAAAATGTGGGAACGTGGATGCTGACAATGGACATCGGGAAGCGCCTCCGCCTGGTCAGTCAATAAACACGGTAGCAGGATTTCTGTAGACCATGTGCTGCGGATGGGAGGCTGGGGGTTACATGCAATAGCATAAAGTATGGTCTGTAAGAATAAGCCTCAGTTTGCAGCATCAGAGGTGTAGAAGAAGGTTTCATTGGTCCCCAGTTTTTGACTCCTTCATATTGTTAATATACACCTAAATCCTGGCCCTGGCCTCATGGAGGGCAGTGAGTCTGCTCCTTGACTTTTTGGCTTGGTCATGTGACTTGCCTGGCTAATGGGATGTTACTGAACGTGGTGTGATCACAGGCTTTCAATACACCTGCAAGGTTAGGATCCCCCTTCTCTCTTCCCTCCTGCATCAGATACTTGTTATTCTAAAGAAGGTGAGAGACATCTGGAGCAGAAGGGGCCCACCCCTGGCTCGATCAGTCAAACCTCAGCTAACCTGCAGGCTCATGAGTGAGAAATGAATGCTTATTGTTGTATGCCACTGAGTGCGGGGTGCTTTTCTATGAAGCAAAATTATGGCTATAGCTGACGGATACAACAGGGCCGTGAAAAAAATGCATTTGTTAAAAATTGCTGAAGCCACAAAAAACCCTTGGTAATAAGCATCCATGAGCCTGGCCGGGTGTGGCTCAGCAGTTGAGCATCGACCTAGGATCCAGGAGATCGCAGTTGGAATCTTGGTCAAGGCACATGCCTGGGTTGCGGGCTCGATCCCCAGTCTGGGGTGTGCAGGAGGCAGCCGATCAATGACTCTCTCATCATTGATGTTTCTATCTCTCTCTCCCCCTCTCCTGTCCTCTCTCTGAAATCAGTAAAGATATATTAAAAAAAAAAAAAAATCAACGAATTTTAGAAGTAAGATACCCTAGAATCCAACACATTTTGAGAATGCAAAAATTCTATCTACACCATTCACCATCTACTCAACAATTCTTAGGGTCTATACTATGCCATAGCCATTCCACTGCTGTGTCAGGCAAATCTGTGAGAACTGAGTTTGATTCTGGGGCATGGTCCACTGCAACTACAGGTGATAATACTGTCTCTGAAATTTTCTAGTCATGGTTTCTGGAGAAATGCTAAGAGTACAGACCTACCGAAAAATCAAGGTGAGCTCCCAAGAGCTTATATAAATTATAATGACAAACATTTTCAGGACATCTACATAATGATCAATACTGACTTAGGTATGTTCAATAAATTATCTAATTTACTTCTCAGTCTTAAAGGTTATTTAATAAACATGTTGAAATTGAAGCTCAGAAAGTTTAAGTGATTTATTCAAGGACACAAAGCTAGCAAGAGGCAAAGCCAGGATTCTTACCCAGGTCTTCCTGACTCTAATTAATGCCCAAGCTCTGCCTATCAAACCCAAGATTTATCTTTTTATCTTCATCCAGTGCCTGGAACATGCTTTCCAGATACGGGAACTTAACACTGTTTGCATTGAAGGGAAAGTTTAGTTCAGTCCTAAGGGGGTAGAGCAGGAAACAAGAGAAATCGATCCAGATAATCAGATTATCAACCGTCTCGGGATTGATTCTGGCCCAATGACTGATGTGCTCAGCATTCTCTCTCTGTCCCAGAGGATTAGTTGGATTTATCTTCTACTGGCAGACCTCATCTTCAAGGTTAGGAAAAGAGAGATGGGAAGGTATACATACTTATATTTTCTTGACTGTTCAGATCTATTTAACTTCTGAACCTTTTGTTCCTGAAGAACAGCAACATCAATTCCCTGACATTCTTTAATACGAAGTTCTGCGTCATTTGGGAAACATGTTGGACCTAAGTTTCACTGTGCTAGTCAAATAGCAGGTGGCCCTTATCTGACAGCCAAGCGATGCAGAGAAACTGCTTGGCCAGCTCGGCTGGTTCTGCCTGGATGGGTCACAACAGCCAGGACACCCTTCTCCAAGGAGTTCAGAGCTCTGCCTCATTGACACGCAGGTAAAACATTTTTCCAAACAGCAGGGAGAAATGGAAATTATATCTACCATAGGGTGGGTTTCCTTGGAAAAGAGGAATTTTATGAGATGGTAGAGATAGTTCATTGAAATAGCCATGGAGCATCGGAGAGACTGAGGAGAAGCAATCCTCTCTTTTTCACACTAAAGCCCAGTGGGACGGACAGCAGGACAGCAGGTCTGAGGCCGGAGAGAAATGTTGGCCTCAGCTTCACTGACTTGCTGTGCTGACCTTGGACAAGTTACTTAACCTCTCAGGACTTCACTTCCCTCATCTCCACGGCAACAGGTCTGGTTCTAAAGCACAAGAGACTTGTCTGACTTGACAAATGCAAACCTGTGTCTGCGAGGAAAGGGTAGGACGGTAATCAGACCTCGGAGTTCCCGCTTCCCCTGTTGCCCATCTTCCAGGTGGAGCCATGAAGGAGGCTCCCCAGGGCTAAGAGGTGCAAGGCTGGAGAAGGGTGCTGGGCAGGACCAGGGAGTTTCGATGTTTTGAGAAATCATTTTGGACAAGTGGCATCGGAAGCCAGACCGAGACATGACCCCAAGAGGCCCTGACACGCTCCTTACTGCCCAGCCCCATGCCTGCTCATCTCTGCTCGTGTAGAGACAGCCCTGCTACCAGAAATGGCAGGGGGCCAACATCAGTCTTGTTTCTGCAAAGTAATTATCCAGTGAACTAATTTATCTAGCTCCTCCATTTTTCCTTAGTGGAAGATTAAAAAATTTTTAAGAATAGGCAAAACTATGCCGTTGTTAAAATAAAATAAAATAAAATAAATAAAATAAAATAAAATATAAAATAAAATAATAAAATAAAATAATAAAATAAAATAAAATAAAATAAAAAATACTTTAAAAAACTAAATCCAGCACAACTTTAGCAAAGGAGGCAGAGCGTGCCTCAGGCATGAAGGTCTTTTTATTGAAGCGTTTCATCTTGACTTTGCAATCACTTGCCTATTTCTAGCTACTAATGACTGTCAGTTGAGCTCCTGCATTTCATTAAAGACCCCTTCTGTTTCGGTATCTGTGAACGAGTGAAAATGACTCTTTGGACACATCTTATCAGCCCAGAGGCAGAAATCAGAACTGGCAAATGATAATCATATTTCTTAATCCAAAATGTGCATGCTTCACTGAGCATGCTCTGTCCCATATGTGTTCCGCAAGACTGGGACATTTCTCATTTTTATTTTTAAAAACACAGCACACTGCTATTCTCAGCTTTTAAATGTACTCAGCTCCACTTACTGGTTTAGTGGACATTTATTGAGCCCTTACAATGTGCCAGGCTCCGTTTTAAGTTCTATGGTTATAAAAGTAGGTAAAAGACAGAATCTGTCCCCTTCATCAGAGATTAAAATTTTTCAGAAAGATTCAGAGATTGAGGCTCACAGTTCAGGATGTGTTGGAGACAGCAGAGCCAAGTATGGGTTCTAAAGGAGCTAGAAGGTGAAATACTAAGGACAGCCACTTCCAGAGGCCCTCAGAAGGGGAACCACCAAAGACACGCTCCTTTTACTGTCGTCCCATTCAAAAGGCCGCGATTTCAACGGCGGGAGGGGAATTTTCAGATCCCTTGTGCCAGCTGTGACAATGGTTGAAATGCCAGTTAACTTGTTTTCAATTAAACTCACTTTTGAATCACTGTATATGTCTAGAATGCTTTTGATAGAAAGTAAGAAAAACAACAACTTCCAAACATGGGGGGTGCTATTTTTTCCGACGTAACAAGCAATCTGCATGTGCATGGCCATTGGCATTACTGAAGTTACTCGGTTCTATGAATTACCATCTTGGCCTTCCCTTCATGGTTGCCAGATAGGCCCCAGCTCCAGGCATCACTTCTATGTTAAAAAAAAAAAAAGGGGGTGAAAAGTGGGGAGTGTTGGTACAGCTGTACTTGCTCCTGTTACCCAGTAAAGCATATTCCTTCCCACAGGATCCCAACAGATCCCTGCTGAACTCTCCTTGGCCAGAACAAGGTCAGCTGGCTACACACAGCTGCAAAGAAAGCTGGGAAGGGGGTACAGTGGTCCCTCGGTTTTCGAATGTCATCCATTCCGAAAGACCTTTTGGGTTCTGAAATGTTTGAAATCGAGGGATCCACAGCCGATAGCTGGGCCTCAGGATCTTGCCCTCAGCGGAAGCCGTGAGGCAGGTTCGACTTCCGAGGCGTGTTCGAAAACCGAAGCATTTCCTTCGGGGTTTACAGCGTCCCTAAACTGAAATGTTCGTCAACGGAGACGTTCCAAAACCAAAGCACCACTGTATTTAGCTTTTCCAGCCTCTACACCACATGGAGGCATGGGAAGAGGGGAAAGGAAATGGGGGTGGCTTAATCAAGTAACAGTCTACCACAGAGACCCCGTATTAAGAACGTTCACAAAGGACGGCTGGGCAGGCCTTGATTCCTCTCTAATCTATTCTTCACACTATAGCCCGTGTGATACTCTACAAAAAACATGACCATTTAATTCCCCTGCTTCATACCTGCCTGTGGTTTCTCAGCGTTCATTCTGTTATAAGCTCTTTAGAACCCTGTATCTTTCCTCTATATTGCTTTTCACTTTAATTTGTACTTGCATTTTTCATTAGACTTTTTTCTCACCATTTAATCCTAGTAGTTGGTGCTCAGGAAATATTTATTGAATGAGTGCATCAATGAATGAATGAATAAATGACACGAGTGCTATATTCTTAAAGAATTTTATCTTGGATTCCAGCATTGAATGGGGTGCTTAATATATAAGGATCTTAGGGGTGGTGATTTTTGTCCTTTGGTATTTACATTTTTAAGATCATTCTGCTTTGGAAATGGGTTAAATAAACAGAATTCTCAAGATTCCATAAACCTCAGCAACAATGTTCAAGGAATTGCTCCACAGGCACCC